CATCCTCACCCATCTATCTATCCATTCCACAAATATTTATGAACATTGGCTCTGTGCCAGACAGCACCCTAGTTGCCGGGGGCAGTGAGTTTTGTGGTGATCCACATGGACACAGGGTCTGCCCTCATTAGGCCTACACTCCATGGGATGTCACAAGTGTGGCGAGTACGATGGTGGAGAATTTCAAGTTTTCCGGGACTTCTGGGAAGAGAGAAAGAAACTTTCTGGAGCACCAGGGTGGGCACTAGGGATTCCTGGGAGTGATGTGCTAGCGGAGTCCTGAAGGAGGAGGAACTAACCCAGAGAAGAGAGCTCTAGGTAGAGGGAACAGTATTACTCGAACATGGAACAGAAAAGGGGGATAGAGAGGAGTCCTGAAAATGAACTGATTACAGTGCTAAGAGAAAGCAAATGCTTACCTTCAGGGGTCCTGTAAAGGCATTTTCCCCTGGCTTCTACTGCAGAGGGCTGGTTGTAGGAATGCACCTTCACTGTGGTTTGTTTTAGTAAGGTCTTGCCTCCCTGCTCTGCCCAGACTCCCAAAAGCGTTTGAGACCTGGGGTCACACAGACCTTGGCACAGTCTTTGCCATTGTCCTGGGGAAGTCACTTCCCTCTCTGGACCTCAGTTTGTGAAGTGGGACTAACAGTAATTCCTACTTTACATAGGGTGCTGCAAAGACACCAATTCTTGACACATTTTAAGGTGTTAACAGATTAAAAGCTGTAGCTCTGCCTGATTGCCTGGGTTGTAGTAAGTGTGGGTGAGAGATGACAGGCCTGTGTGGGCCAGTACACTCTCTTATGCACCTGTGTGCCTTCTGAAATTATTATGGTAAAATTTATTTTTAAAACCACTCGTATTATATACTGCCACTGCTGCTACTGTCCACCATCGTCTGGGGGTCTGCTCTCCTTCACTGAGGGGGACCAGAGTGTAGCAAGGACAGGAAACCAAAACATTCCTTGGAAATGCTTCACTTCATTCTGCCTGATATCAGTGGGGCCCCAGGAGAGACCCTGCCTGGCCTGGCCCATCCTGACCCTATGAGCTGCTCCAATGCCAACATCAGTCCCCAAAACTCTCCAAAAATCAGATAGAAGAAGAAAATATTGGAATTTTAACGTTATTTATTTTTAATCTAAAAAAAGAGGAAGAAAAAAATCAAGCATTACTAATACTTACGACTGCATAGATCAAAACTATGCAGTCCAGAATTAAAAGTGCACAGGCTTACCTGTGACTCATAAAAGAACAGATTTCCATGCCTAAGATTCTGGAAAAATGGCAAAATGAAGGAAAATACATGAAATAACCTTCTTTCCTTTTGTATTCAAGGAGAGGAGACCTATTTCCAGCCTTGGTCAGCTAGTTGGAAAGTACGTACTAACTTGAATGTGCAGATCCTTGGATGAATATAGATACAGAAAGATGGAAAATTTTTTAAAGTATAGACTGACAATGGTGCACATAAATTATTCATAAGTCAAATATATATTGGGTGTGAGTGTTCACAGAACGTTTAACTAACAACACCACATGATCAAGGAAGTTTGGCGCAGCCAGCCCGTGCAGTGTGGTCCGATGTTGTGTTATGATGTCCCCGTGCACAAGGCACCCAGATTTTTGTTTCAGGTGCCCGAGAGAGCAGCTGTTCCCACCGATAGGAGAGAAACAGAGCAGAAGGTATAACCTCTATCCGCATTTCCAGGGCCAAGTATGTATCTCATGTGCTCAGAAAGTCCTGAAAATAATTAGTCACATAAATGTTGACTCTGGAAATAGGAAAGCCCCCTCCTCCACCAGTCAGAGATGCCTATGCTAAACTCTTCCCACCTGCAGGATATCCCCCTCCCTGACACTACCAAGAGATAGAAGGAGACAGGAGTGAGGGGGGAGACAGCTAAGTGCAGATGGAGCACATGGAGTTTGTGACTTAAGATCCCACAAAGCCATTGACAGTGACCCAAGGCCACATTGTGCAGCCGAGTCCTTTCATGTAGGAGCCTGTGCCTGAGGTGTTAGGGGCAGGAGGCCCCATCCATGCAGTCAGGCAGGAGAGTAACCTGGAGCCTGAGTGCAAGTCCCAGCTCAGCTTTTATGAGCTTTGTGAATTTGAGCAAGTCATAAACGTCTCTGAGTTCCAACTTCCCCAGTGCCCACATGTTCAGAATAATTCCTTTCCTCCTGCCGGGTGATGTCAGTATGATAATCCCAATCTAGGATTATCTAGTTGGAAAAGGTATCCACAAGCAGTGAGGACTCTAAAGCAATACTTTACAATTATGACTGATAAGAATGCCCCACACAACTAATAACAAGGATAAGAGTCCGGGACAAAGGGTTTCTCACTTTTCATATGCGCCCCAAGCCTGGTGACCCCACAAAGGTAGTAGTGTTGAGAGGCCTGGTCTCCCCATGCTGTCCTACCCTGTTCCGGGAGAGTCAGCCAGAGGCATAATGAGGTCACGGACCTCTGGGCCACAAGGTGCCTGCCTGAGACCTAGAGAGTGTGCAGATGCAGGTTGCTCTGGAGCTGGCCAGCTCCTGCGAGCCGCGCCTCTGCCCGCTGCCTCATCAATCCATCATCCTCTTAGCTGCTGACACCTCTGGCAGCACCTCCCGGCAGCCTGGGCATTAGAATTGCAAGAAGCCCAGCTGCACGGGGGAATACAGATGGAGGAATCTCAGATTCAAATTTGTCTTAAGTATTGTGAACAACCAGACCGGGGCAAGGCGCCTCCACTGCCCTTCCGCCAAAGGGGAGTGGTGGGGGTTTTGTTAGAAGTACAAATTGCTTCTTAATGCAGAGGATAAAGCTGGGCTTGGGCACCTCCTTAGAAATTCCTCCCGTTCCCAGGAAAGCCACCACTGCATGTCAATTTTAATTTTTGAAATTTAAACTGAGGGCTTTGTGTCTAAGCTCCATCTCATCGGAGGAAGGGGAGGAATAAGTCAAAAAGGATTAGGGGCCCTCTGGGGATTGCAGATCCATAGCAATTAGACTTCATTTGGGTCTCAGACATTTGGTTTTAATCGCATTTCTGGATGATACAATCAACAAGGCATCAGAAATTGATACGAATGCAACTGTAGCCAGGATGATTCTGCCCTCCTCAGTTCTAAGAGTTCCTGGGAGCAGGTGGATTCAGCTCAGTTTGGATTTCATAATCAGTGGGGTAGAGTATGGTGGGGAATTGGGGTTCTGTTGAACTGGGGGATGGTTGTGTGTGTGTGTGTGTGTGTGTGTGTGTGTGTGTGTGTTTCCCTACCTTTTTTTCAACACTTTATCCCTGGACTCAAAGCAGACATAATCATTGCTCATATACAAGTGAATGACAATAAAACATTATTCAAATAAAAGAAGAGCATGAAGAGGAGCAGCAACAGCCACAGGACTCAAGGCAGGGGGTATAATTGTCTTTTAAATGGGAATCATAGCTTTCTGTACCTTCCAGGAACTAACATCTAGCACAATTCAATTTAGGGGCACACATGCAGCCAGGAACACATACCAAAATAACATGGACCTATGAACATGTTTTTGTGTACATGTATAACATGGATTCTGTATTGGAAGTGTGTGTGTGAATCCAGCTTTACATAGATACACATTCCAGGATTATCTCTGTGCACTCATTCATGCATATTTCTTTTCAAACAGTCAAAATAAGCTCAGTACTATGTAGGTTACTAACAGGCTTTTATTTGTGTGTGTGAGTGTGTGTGTGTGTGTGTGTGTGTGTGTGTGTGTGTGTGGTACTTTGAACTGAACCCAGAGCCTTCCCAGTGAGTTATATCCTGAGTCTTTTTATTTTTATTTTTATTCTGAGGCAGCATCTAGTGGTGGTGGTACATGCCTGTATGTAATCCTAGTATTCTGGGAGGCTGAGGCAGGATGGTATATTGGAGCCAAGCCTGAGAGATTTGATAACTGGCTACTCCATGGAAATTTACTGCTTGTTAGAACTCAATGTTCTAACAACATAAACAGAAGAGAAAAAAGTATTGAGACTATGGGGGGGGTCTTCTAACTTGCATGTGTAGGACGTTAGAGGGAACCGACAGAACAAACAGGGACCCCTGGCCACTGTGCAAATGGGAGGGGGGACCCCAGGACTGTCCCTCTCACCACAGTGTTCTGGCTGAATGCAAGGACCTGGATGAGTCACGGAATTGCCTCAGTTTACCAGTTCTTCTAAGAGTTGTGGACTTAGCTGGGATGTACGTACATGGGCCTAGGTGGAGGATGCAGGGGTTGGCTGGGGGCTTTGCGTGTCCCTCTTAGAGTCCAAAAGTTCACAGGTCCCCAATGACAAGTGCTTCTCCTGCCTCCTATTATGCAGAGGCCCCCTCTTCCTGACCATTCCCGGAGGCCTCTCCCCTTAGCCTCCTCTCCAACTCCTGGAGGAAGTTGCCCAAATTGCCAGGGACTGGTGCCCTAATACGCCTCTCCTGCCCTCCTCCTCCCTTCCCCTCCAAGGCAGGGCTGTGTGCAGCGGTGGACCTCGGCGAAAGGGCGAGGTGCACACTCCCTGTCTCCGCACACCTTTTCACCTAGCCCCAGTAGTGGGAATGTGGCAGTGGCCAGAGATCAGGGCACAGATGAGGTTCCTGGGGCTCAGTTTGGGGTTTATGCCATGGTGGACGCCTGAAGCTTCAGGTTAGGGGCCATGCTGATAAAGACCAAGGAGTCCATAGTCTAAAAACATAATTTAATGCAGCGCAATGGGTCTGAGTCAGGAAGGAGTGCAGTGTGGAAAGGTGGATTTTCCCTTTGCTGGAATTCTGCTGTGGGTGGGATTTTTGGGTTATAGACAGGAAAATCTGCACGAGTATTTCAGGTCACGAAGAAGGACGCCCCAGGGAACTGGTTTTCACATTGACCCATCTCCCCTGGTCACAGGGCCTGGGACCCTTGGCCTGGGTACTGGGAAGAGGAGGGGAAGGAGGAAGGGGGGAGAGAGAGAGAGAGAGAGCTGGTCACAGGGCCTGGGACCCTTGGCCTGGGTACTGGGAAGAGGAGGGGAAGGAGGAAGGGGAGGAGGGAGAGGAGGTGGAGGAGGAGGAGGAGGAGGAGGAGGAGGGGTAAGGGGAGGAGATGGAAGAGGAGGTCTGAAAGAGGGCAGGCTCCTGCACAGCCTACCCAGTCCAATCAAGTTTGCAAAGTCTGCCCGCCACGGCTGCCCCTGCCCCAAGGGCTGGGGTTCACACTCAGCTCGCCCCTTGGTCATCCCCTCTCCCTTCCCGGACCTGGCGCAGGGACCGGAGGCAGCGTGGTGAAAGCGAACACAGAGGCCGGGGGCGGGGCATGAAGGACAGCAGGGATATATCTTTTCCAACGGAGATGTCAGGAAGTGTCATGAAGCAAAGAGTGGCCTCGCCAAAGAGCCGCGTGCCCCAGAGGGGATAGAGCAGCCTGAAGCCACCCCACCTCGCGCCCTCTGCGCCCCTAATCCGGGTACAGAAGAAAGCCCGAGAACGTGCTGTACTTGTTGTTATTGCCTCCGTGCGCTTTCCCACCGTCCAGCTTCACGTACACCTCGTCCCCCGAATCCAGGTGCAGCACCACGCTGTTACTCGCATAGTCGTAGTTCTGGTCCGCGTCCTGCGCAATGGCGCTGGCCCGAACCTGGGGACGAACCATAAAAGCGGGTGAATCCAGCCGCCTCTTCCTGAGCCCTTGCTGGGACCCGCCTGGCGCGCCCCTTGACCGGCCTTCTGCCTGCGACTTCAGGGGCGACACTCCCACCCAGCTTCGCGTCCTCTCTAACTTGGCCAACTCTTTCCTGGTCCTCTCCTCTCGACACCCGGAGAGTCGGGAAAGGAGGCGAAGGATCCGTGGACACTGACCCAGTGTAGAAGAGTGGGACCTAGGGACCCAGGGTGGAGAGGAAAGGAGGCTGGGGGCCAAGGGGCGATCGATGTGCAACGGAGGACCCAAAGAAAAAAGCTTTCCGAGAAGCACACGCGGCTGCGGCGAGGACGCAGGGAGCCGCAGAGCACAGTTTCGCTAGCGGGGTCTCTGGCGCTCCGCGACCCAACCTCTCGCGCTAGGCTCGGGTAGGAGCAGCCCACGAGCGCAGAGAAGCGGGACGCTGTGACATCGCGGCACACTTCTCCAGGCTTTGCTCGGGCGCTAGCTGGTGCGGAGAAAAGGGGCTGGCTTATATCTAGAGGGGTTGAAGGGCTAGAAGAGGATCTGCGGGGGCCAGCAGGGGTGGGAGAGAAGGCCACTGACCTGCCCGTTCTTGCAGAGGTCTGCCCACATGCTGGTGCCGTCGCCGCCGCGCATAAGGATGTGATAGGTGAAGAAGTAGATGCCGCGCACCTGACAGCTGAACTTGCCCGTGGTGGGATCGTAATGATTGCCGAGATTGGTGACCACGTCGTCGAACTTGAGCACCTCGTAGCCTTCGTGGGGGCTCTTGAGTCCCACGTAGAAGGCGATCTTGGGGCCGCTGAAGGCGGCGCTCAGCGCGCTGGTCACTTCGCCCTCAGAGTCGCCACCGCCCCCGGTTCCACCACCCAACACTCCGACCCCGCCGGCCGTGCCGGTTGTCAGCTGCAGTCCGGGCAGCCCCGGCCGCCCGGAGTCGCCCTTCTCCCCCGGGGGCCCCCTGGGTCCAGGCGGCCCCGGCTCTCCAGGGGGCCCCCTCGGCCCTGGTTTGCCCGGTCGCCCCGGGTCGCCCTTCGGTCCCTGGATGAACGGAGGCGGAGGATTGGCGCTAAGGTCCTGCATGACTTCCAGGGCCGCTGTGCTGGGTCCCGGCGGCGGGGCCTTGGCTCCCGCGGGGCCCCCGCCGGGTGCGGCGCTGTAGGGGTCGCAAATCATGCGGCAGGTGCCCATCATCTCGTAGTGCGCCGAGCCGGGAGGCGCCGCCTGCAGCAGCAGCGGCAGGGCGATGAGCAGCCCGAGCGCCATGGCCAGGAGCACGCCGACGGCCGCCAAGCAGGCGCGCCGCCGCCGCTGCCACAGCCGGGAGGCGACCGCCACCAGCTCCTCCTTGCCTCCTGGGGAGGTAATGGTGAGGCGGCGCGGGTGGCCCCGCTCCCCGCGCTCCGGGGCCAACTCCGCGGGTCCCGGCCGCACCCCGGACGTGGCGACCCCCTGCCCCGGCCCCCCAACTACTTCAGCGAGACGCGCCCCGGTCTGGGCGCCGGTGCCCTCCTCGCTGGGGCTGCTCCGGAAAGCTGCGGAGCCCGGCACGCATGGCGGGGGGCGCACAGGACTAGCCCGGCGCCCCACGGGTCCTCGCGGCGGTGGCCAGGAGCGCGGGGTCTGCGTGCGGCTGCCGACCCCGCGGCGCTGCTTCCTCCCGGCTCGGCTCGCAGGGATTCGGCGGGGACACAGCGAAGCGCGGGGCTCCGCGGAGCTCTCTGCTCTGCTCTCCCGCCGCTCGCCGGCTCCCGCGCGGAGGGGGGACCCAACTACCCTGACGTAAGGAGTCCGGGGCTGAGCGGCGGAGGCGGCGAGGCAGCGCGCGCTGCCATCACTCGGGAGACGGCGCCCTCATGTCATCAGCCTCCTGTCCTCCTATCCCGCGGCGTCCTCGGGAGAAGCAAAGGCTCTGTTCCTCCTGGCGGCGCCGGGGAGCCACAAGCGGGCGCAGCGGGCGCAGTCCCAGTCTGGGCGCCACAGGCGGCCACACTCACGCTCCTCCCAGCGCCCCGAACGCACGAACACCCACGCGCGCAGTCGCCAGGTGCACACAGACACCCCCGCATGGCCGCAAAAGCACTCAGAATCCTAGTGTCAGCAACGTCGTGGGGTGGGTTTCACCTAGAATCCATCCCGCTGCCTAGACTGGACCAGACCCGAACACACCAAGTCCTGGAGAGTCTCATCCTCAGGCCTGGCTAGGAAGAACCCTGTGAAAGTCTCCAGAGTGACTTCCAACTGGGTAACTGTCCCTCCCAGACTGGACTGTCTTTTAGAGACTGAGGTTTCAGACTGTTAAATAGGCCTCAGCAGAGCACCTCCACCAACTCTTGGAAGGATTTTAAGAAGCCCAAAGCCTCACTACAAAAATTTATCAGCCTCAGACCTTTGCTTTTACTGAAACAATGGCTGGTGGTCTGCTCCGTATGAAGTTCATTTACAAGTGTAAACGTCTGACATCAGTACTTGGAGTTCATCTTGGTGTCCTCAGCTCCCAGCCAGATGCCTGGACACAGTCCCTTGGATAGTTCTTCCTAGGGTGGGTTTAGTTATTTTATAATACAGTCCTAAGCCATTCGGAGCCCAAGTATGGAATAAATTTGCTCCAGAGGAGAGAACTATGTGTCTCTGCTGAAGCAGCAGAGGGTAAAGGCACCAGAGGAAAGGAGACTCCGCTATGGCCTGGGGAGACCTCCAGGTCAAAACTGAAAATCTCTTGAGCTGGGCGTGCAGCTCAGCAGTGAGTGTGCTTGCCCTGCATGCTCCAGGGTAGGAGCGAGGGAGAGAGGGAGGAAGGAGAAAGGAAGGAGAAAGAAAGAGAAAAAGAGAAAGGAAGAAAAAAGTCAGCCCCTGCTCCCAGTTCCGCTCTTGCGTAGCTGTGACTCGTCTTTCCCGTCTTTCCCGAGGGCCAGCTTCTGCTCCAGCACCCCAGGGCGGTCTTGCCTCTGGTGAAGCACCACATCCCTAGACCAACTGTGCAGAGCCCTGGAGCTATGACTTTCAAGAGGCCATTTCTTTGCCAGGCATTGTGCTCTCCAAGGTTAGTTAGTCCATCCGTTTTTGTCATTCTGGGTCATTTTGCCACCCCAACTCCTGTTGGGATGAAGAGCTACTCCTCTTCCTTCATTTTGCAGGGCAGAGTACAAGGTCTGGAAAGAATGACTAGGTCTAGCCTAAAGCCAGCTTCACCAAGGATGGAAGAAGAAACCCATGCTTACTGGACATCAATGCATCAGCCGTGGGCATGTGCTTCTTCACTCATCCCTTCTAACTGCCCTGTGGATTAGTGACGTTCACCCATCATACAGAAGACAAAGGCTTTGCATGTGTAAGGTGCTTGCCCAGTGTCCTCCACCCACATGCCAGAGATGGTTTCTTAGTTTTGAGAGCTTTCCCCTCCATCCCCTAGAGCCAGACCCTAAACCAATAATTTAGGAACCAGACTACCTGGTTCCCATACTGGCTCTGCAAATTCCTTTCTGTGTGTCCCTGAGGAAATCACTTCTGGGGGCCTCAGTCTCCATGTGTGTAGAACAAGGGTGAGAAAAGTACCTACAAAGAGGAGTGAATGAGTTAAGGTAAGTAAAGGTAAATCAGTGCTTGGTGTTATGATATTTGCTGGGGGCACATTGTATAAACAGCAGGATGCAGAGGCAGGAGTGGTCAGCTCTGCTGGGGAGGAGGCAGCTTCAGACAAAGAGAGACACTTGGATGTGATAACTAGGGGTGAGAATGAGGCAGATATCCCAGCTTGAAGATGTTGTAGTACAGGTGAATAAAGAGAGGGGCTCACTGCTAGGGGGGCCACCAGAGCCTCAGACCAGCCAGTGTATGATTAACTGTCAAACTGGGTACCACAATCACAGGGCTTTGTGAAGGGGAAGGTTGTTGACACATAGTGGGCTATCAACAGATGTTGGTAGAAGGAATGCTGCCTGGATTACTAAAGGCAATTTCAGACAGATCTGAGTCCTGGTAATTTTGGACAGACCCTGAGTTGTAAAACCATGGTCTCCATGGAAGAAAACACGCTAATAAAGACCATAATTAATAATGATAACAATAATATTGATGATATTTGCTGGTGCGGGGTGCAGAGGCAGGAGTAGTCAGTTGCGCTGGGAAGGGGACAGAGGCAGTCACCAAGGGCACATCACTCAGGAAGGACTTGGTTTGGGGTGATAGGAAAGAAGTGGGTGAACTCCAGCTATATTTTGAACACAGAATCCATGGGCCTTGCTGATAGATTCAAGATAGACGTTCAGGGAGGAGGAAAAAGGGAAAATCAAGGTTAACTCAAGATCTGGCAAGAGCAACTGGGTGAATGAACACGAGGAGGGAGATATTTGGGGAAGAACAATCTGTTATGGAAGATAGGAGGTGGAACTGTGAGCTCCATTTGGTAAATGTTAACCATGAGATGCCAGTAAATCTCTGAATGAAGACGTCACACGGGCAGTGGATGTGACTCTGCTACTCTTTAGTGAGGTAACAGTGGAGATACATACAGGAGGGTTTTTAAGATACAGATGATGATTGTAGCCTTGGGAATGGCAGGTGGCAGGGAGGAGAGAAACAAAGTACTGGCTCTCGGTAAACAACTCTCCAGCTCCACCCAGCCATTTAAAAGATAGGCAGGAGAGAGAAAAAAAAATCTGTAACAGAACCTGAGATGATACAGCTATGGGAAGAAAGGAATGGAGGGAGGGAAGAAGGGAAGGGGGAGAAAGAAGGAAGTAGAGTGACTGGCCAAGAGAACCATTCCAGAGGGGAGGTAGAACGGCTGTCTGGAAACCTGCCAAGAGATAAGGAAGAGGAGGGTCCAAAGGGATCCACTGGGAATGGCGAGGCGGGTGTCACTGGGGAGCAAGGTGGGGACAACAAGGAACCTTATCAAGGTCCCTTTCCATTGAGTGGTAGGGGGGAAAGCTGGAATGCAGTGAACTGAAGAGTGAATGCAAACAGAGGAAATGGATGCAGTGTGTGCGCACAGTTCTGGAGAAGCTGGGGTAAGCGAGGGACAGAGAAATGGCAAAGGCTGCTGTGAGCTCAAGGAGGAAGTGGAAAACAGGACACATTAGAGTGTGCACAAGCTTTTTGCCAGTGAGAAGGATACAGCACAGAGGGCAAATCAACTTTGCTGGAATAATCCAGTGCCTAAAGTTCCTAGTGACTGACTCCTCACAAGTTCTAAGAAAGTTTGCTATCTTTAGCAATATTAATAACATGCAATATTTATTGAGTCCTATGTGCCTGACACTAGGCAAAGAGTTTTTCAAACACATTAGTTCTTTCAATGCTCACATCACTGTGAGATAAGGTGCCCCTCTTTTATAGGCGAGGAAACTAAGATAAATCTATGTTTTCACAAATGTCGCTATGGTATGTGATTGTCTGAGTAGCTCCTCCAGGTCCCTAGATACAGAGCACCCCACAACTAGGTTGCACTGACTAAAGACATCATCATCCATGTGTTACTCTTACCTCCCAGCCACACTGTAAGCCTCCCCAGGGCAGGAACCTTCGTGAGGACATAGTAAGTGTTCAACAAGTATTTTATAATTCTTGATTATTTTGTATGGCATGAAAATTTCACACATATGATCTTATGTCATAGTTTTTGCTCAGGGAGTAGAAATTTTAAAAAGACACTCTTAAATCCTTTATTTTTGTGGTACTTGGGCTTGAATTTGGACTGCATGCCTACCAGGCAAGCACTCTACCACTTAGCTATAGCCTCAGCTGTTAAAAAGATACTCTTTTTGGTGGAAAAGTAAGAAAGAGCAAGAAAAGAGGGCAAAGAAAGAGCCCCAACTGTATTGCTTTAGGCTTTGCAAAAGCCTGGTGTTTTCCCATCATTCTTTATTTCCTTCCTTTTTCTTTATGTATTTATCAGTGCATTTATCCTGTCCATAACACCTGTACTGAGCATCTACCATAGGCAGAGGGCTGTGCTATGTTGTGCTGTGGAGGCGTGAGTGACATGAAGGCGATGTCCCTGTTTAAAAGCTTCCAGTCTAGTGGGAGGAACAAGATGAACCAATAAAAAGCATCTGAGCAGCACTGTGAGACAAAGGTACAGGCAGGGAGAGGCTGCTGAAAACAATCCCTATGGCCACAGCACTTGAGGAAGCAGTGTCACTATATATAAATCAGAATGGGAAAGGACAGGTGAGATTTGAACCTGTGAAAGGTCTGGCTGTCCAAGTGTCACCTAGGGCCCCGGGACTGTAAAAGCAGGGGCAGGGTGGGTGCTGATGGTACGTCACAGGTACCACTGTTCCCCCCAAGCTGTCTCCCAGTCCTCCCCTCCTCTCTCACACGTATTCATTATTCCAT